GTCTATTTTTAAGTATTAAGTCACATTCAGTATACTTCTGTATAATATCAATGATAATGTTGTTATAACAACACATCTATGTATAAACATTGATTGAAAACTACTGAAGTATGCAGAACGTGACTTCTTAAAAATCCACACACTTGCAGTAGGCTTTTGGATACTGGCGTAGCACTGGCGTATCCTGAAATTGGAACAGGAGGGTGCTAAGGGCGCGCGAAGCATGCCGTGATTTTGGCTATACCCCTTTTTACGGCAGTAAAAGGGTGTTTTCCTTCATTTTCATGAATTACAGGTGGGGTCAAGATAATTTCAAGCATACTACTACTTCTGACGACTTCTGATTGCTCCTGAAAGCACTGAAAACTGCTGAAATCATGATCAGGGGGCTAGATAACTTTGTTAAGAGGCTTGGTAGTAATGCAAAAGTCCAGGATTTGACTAATTTTTTTCTGAGCCCAGCAATGAACAAGCCCCCTCAGCTCCCGCTAGTGCTGTAGGTATTATTTAATCCTAATGATGTATATAAAAATATTTAAAAAAGAGAAAGAGAGAATATGAGAGTAGAAACAATGCATGCATGTAAATTAAAATACAGTACATGGATAGCTGAAGTACACTAGTTTTCACTAAAAAGTTGGAAGACCAAATAATAAAATGCTTCAGCTGGATGCATTAGTAAGTAAATACTATTAATTTTTATTACTATTTTAGTTTAGTTAAGTTATTGTTGTTAGTCTTGTTTTGATAGAAAGTCACAAACTGTTTTCACTTCTTCTCCAGTGATACTATACTGAGCTCTTGCTTGTATCTCTGTACCACTGAAATCCATTAATATGTCATATTTTCTCTCTTTTCTTGGTACATTATCAGGATTAGGAATATTGAGTATTAGCTTGCCAATCTCACATACTGTTGGTTTACCTTCTTTATCTCTGACATACTGAACTCCATCATTTACTGTACAGTATATAGGAATAGTTATTTGTGTGCTTTTTTGAGAAGAAGGTATTAGTGTAGTTTTATATACTTCATCCTTTATTTCTTCTCCTTTGAGTACAAATACTTTAAAGACTTTGCCACTGAAATATAAACCATCTTCATCTACACGCTTGTAATGTTCATCATGTATTGCTGGGTCAAATACAGCATTAATAACTGTCCCATAGGTAGCATCAGCAGTACGTGATTGGATTATGTTAGGATCTTTCCTCCACATTACTGCTCCTGTTACAACAGCAAGATCTGGTTGTATTGGACACACTATATTATCATAAAGCATGCCACAATGCTCAGCAATAGCTTCTTCTATCCTTTGCCTAACAAACCTACACCCTCCAAACCCTCCTACTAGATAAACTGTATCAATATGATCTGTTAGCTCATCAAAAGCAGACTTAACGCACTCAAGGATTTTATCAACTGTGGATTTGAATACCTTCTCTTCTAACTGACGATAATCTATTTCTAACGAACCATCTCCAGGATCATAATGCGTCTTTTTTTTTTACTTCACGAAGTTTAGTACCAAAAATATATTTGTTTTGCTTTAAAATGTAGTAGTGTAAACCAGGCCTTAGTGTGGCTCACTCAGGCTGGTAGTTGTTAATTTCATTACCAAGTGGTGTTGTGTTGTTGATACAGCTGAAATAATGTGATTCATACTATTTAGAGAAACTGAATTATGTACATGTATATAGAATTTTGTATTCATATTGCCATTGGCAGCCTGAATGGGCTTTATGGAATATTCATCATATTATAACCAAGAGTAAATAATACCTAAAGAGAGTATCCAACGGGCCGTCTAAGCTGCTGCAAGTGTGTCTATTTTTAAGTATTAAGTCACATTCAGTATACTTCTGTATAATATCAATGATAATGTTGTTATAACAACACATCTATGTATAAACATTGATTGAAAACTACTGAAGTATGCAGAACGTGACTTCTTAAAAATCCACACACTTGCAGTAGGCTTTTGGATACTGGCGTAGCACTGGCGTATCCTGAAATTGAACAGGAGGGTGCTAAGGGCGCGCGAA